GCTAAACTTTTCAAGATGCGCAAACCGTGGCGTAACTTCCTTAAGATTACATTAGTTTTTTTTCTCTGTTTTATCTGCTGGATTAAACTTCTTCGATTCTTGTATTTTGGAGTAGATTTGCGCAAAAAGTTGTCTGTACTCCCTGGCTTTCCCTGACGCGCTGCTTTGCTGTGAAGTGTCGTCTCCAAACTGCACGGGCACTTCATCAAGCGGCGAGGTCTGAATCGCTCGCTGTACGGTCGGAATTGGAGCGATGTCTTGCACTATACCCTCACTTTTACACCGTTTAACAAGAGAATCGTATTTTTGGACTAGCTCGTGATACTGACTTCCAAGCTCGGATAGGAATGACGTGCTGTTCTGTTTAAGTGGGGATTTTACTTCGTGAGAAGGACTCAAAACCTCTACCTCACTTTGGTCTGACATAGCGCTGCTTTGGCGATCCAGTTCGTTCTCAACGAGAACAAATGATTCATCCTCGGTGCTTTCCGAGATTTGCCGTACATGTTCCGAGCTGTTATCGATTGACAGACTCAGACAAGACACCTCGTTCTCCAGTTGTTGCCAGACTTTCGCTTGTTCTGCGAAGTCCAATAGTTCTTTATCAAGTTGTTGATTTTCATGAATCAAGTCTGACAATTCGATCTCGAGTTCCTCCCTTCGACGTCTTTCCACAGAATGTTGCCTTTTTAATTTCATAATCCTGTCATTTAGAATTTCAATATCCTTCTTAAAACCTAAGACTTTTTCATCTTTTTCCGTATCATCCGATTCATCATCGCTTTCCAGTTCATAACCGTTCTCTTTCGGAGTAAGTTTGAGTGACAAAGAACCCGCCATTTCTCTCTGAAGGCGCATTCGTTCTATTTGCAGTTCTTCGAGCTGTGTTTTGTACTCGTCGCACTTACTTTCCAAACAATCCACAGTCTGCACGAGACTTTGATAACGTTTTCGCAAGACAGCTGTCTCGCTTTGCAGTTCTTTATTGTTCTTTTGCAGATCTAAAGCCGTGGACTCCATCTGCTCGCAAGTCCGAACTTGGCTGTCATGCAATTCTCGTAATGTCTCCAGTTGTTTGGAAAGGAACTGAAAAGTCAACAATAAATCATGAATTAGCTCAGTATCGCTCCGCTGGTGGGGAGAACAGGAGGGAGGGGGGGGGAAGGAAGAGTAGAGGTAGGTGGCCTACAGAACCAAATCACTCAAACCCCATGCAGTTTTTAAGTATCAGCAAAGCAAAGTAAGCACTGCAACTCCCCACTGCCAGAATGCAGGGATCCGGAGGGGATGTTTGCCCAGATTGTTTTGATAAAAGTTTGCTAGTTTTTCAGTAATTTACGACGAGCATTCACAACCTCTTCACATGAAAGGTCCCCCCCCCCGGATTATAACCCAGAAGTTCTACCCCTGGATGAATCGTCTGGCTCTTTTCCTCTCTGTCCGGCTTGCTTTCCAAAACGAATATAAATGAGTTAATAGCGATAAAGAATTTACCGCCAGTTGCCAAATATTAATAGACCTCCCGTAATATGAAAACAAGAATCACTATCATGTACCGTATCTCGCTCGAGCCGTAGCCTCTTCCAACTCGTAATTAAATTTTTTTTAGTATTCTCTTTATTTACTCACCTCATTTTTAACAGTCTGTTCCTCAAGATACTGGTGCGATGATTTCAACATCACTTCCAGTTCTTTGTTCCGCTCCAGAAGATTTTTTCCGATCTCTGCCGCCAACTCGAGATCTATTAAATGAATGCAAGGATAGAAAACAAAAACAATGACAGTGAGTGGTAAAATCACTGAGTTACATTGGTAACAATGTGAAGCATTGCCGGATATGGCTTCCTTTCGTCACGCTTGAATATACAGTGGCTATATATATTTTACATTCTTTGAAGTTAGATAGTGGAACCCTCGACTGTTGTTCTTTCTGTTGATCAGAAATTCGAGTTGAAGACTGTCTTTCNATACGTAGTGATGTGAGAAAGAAACAACGAGATTTAACACAAACACTCACCGGTACAACAGTGCGATCCTCGATCTTTCTGTTCCATGCTTTCTCCGATGAATTCCAAATTGTAAAGTGATGAATTCACCTCCATCGAAGCGAATAAAAATCTGCCCGATCAGTCTCCCATAACCGATCTTTGACAAGAAAACGCCGCGTTCTCGCCGGTTAAGCGGCGAAGGCAAAGCAAAACAGAACAGAGATATTGCGGTAAAATGTAAATAAGGACACAGACAATCACACGAACGAGGCTGGCTTTTGCCACGTCAGTTTCTGTGTCGTCATTTGCATAATCACAGAGTGTGACCTGTGAAGATGATTTCATCAGGCGACAGGGAGGGAAAGTACTTCAAATAACCAATCAAAAGAAACGAGCACAAAGCTGGA